ACACATCCAGGCTATCAAATTTCACATTGGATAGTTGTAAGTAATTGTGATCACCTTGTATGAAAGGTAAATGGTCTCATTGTATACAGTCCTATGAATATATAATCATCATCATCATCATCATCATTGAGCTTTTTTCCAATTAATTGGGGCCGGCTTTATGAATCTTGATTTTTCATTCTGTTCTATTAAAAGCCATATCTTCAGTGAGGCCATAATTCTCCATATCTTGTCGGACTACGTCCAATCATGTCCTTTTGGGCCTACCCCTTATCATTTTTAATCATTCCACTTGAACTAACTTGAACCTCCTAACAGGTGCTCTACGTAGTTGGCGGTAAACATGGCTAGCCCACCTAAGTTTACTCTCTCTCATTTTATCGGCTATTGGTGTCACGCCTAGAGAGGAAGGATCTCTGATAAAAATCCTCAAATCTTGCAGTCTCTATTGGTGTTATCTCTTAAGATGAATATGAATTTTTTTTTTAAACTCATTTTAGTTCCTGATCTTCAGGCTTAGTTTCGTTCACTTGCTTTCTCCACTTGCTCCCTAAGCCTCTCTGCTAAGTATTATTACTTTTAGAAGTTCTTTTTTACTATGTCCCTGCTTATTTGATCAAGTTTACCATATTTGTATTCTCTGATCTCTGAAATTGATATGCAATTCAATCTTTGTAGTTAGCCTCCGCATATATGGGATAACTGACCCTTAAAATAGAAAGGGCAGGAAGTTCTTTAGCTTAGGGCTTGTAGATTTTGATCCATATGGTCCTTGAATCCTTTTCAAGTATAAACTATCACTGGTTCATCATCTACGGTTTTGACGGTGGATGGAGAAAGGAAGAGAGTAAGAGAAATGGGGTGAGAGAACTTGGAAGTGTGCGGCTTAGTCTCTTGAGTTATACTAGTCACTCACACATATATTATAGAGATACAAATGGAAAGTACCCCTGTATGTAAAAAATCTACATGTATCTATATTATATCATTATTAAATAATGTATCCCATTTGTGGTCATAATTTTTACTCCAGTGTAGTTCCAACCCACATTTCGCATAAAACCTCTATTTTTATATATAATTATAAAATTTTAAACTTAAAAAATGGTTAAAATCAAGTAGATCTATAAATATATGAAAATCTTGAAAATGGATGGTCTAAATAATGTGTTGCAAGATGCGCTATTTTTGGGACTCAAATTATTTTTTTCGCTCATATTCAATCATCTAATTAGAGGGCTTTTCAATATTAAAACAACCTTTTTCTAATGGATTTTTGAGGTGCATCTTTAATTCTACATTTTAGGGTTACAACCATATTTAAATTTTTTCCTTATATAGTATCTTATTTTTATATTAAATAATATACTTAATAAATAAATTATATTTCATTAATACTTAATATAAAATACATGGTTATGTCAGGGTGCTCACACTATAGACTAATTGATCATTGTATTCAACAAATTTTAGACATTTTTATACCATTGTTTTGTACATGGAGTATTTTGTTCATGAGGGTTCTCCTGGTAATGGGAAAACTTCCTATGCTCCCCCTACAGTATAAAAGTTCTATCCTCCTCCCACCATCCAGCTGTCCATTTTTTATCAAAAGAGCCCCTCACCGTTTGATCTTAGATCCGACGTCTTAAAGTATTTTATTTTTAATTTTTTTAATACAAATTTTCTAAATATAAAATTTGGTTCTTTCCATCTTCTTATTGGGGCACATCTATAAAAAATATTAGCAATAATTTTTTGATAAAAAATAATGAACAAAATACCCCTTAAAAATTTTAAGGGTATTTTGGTCATTTTATTTTATTAAAATTATTATTTTTATATATTTTGTTAGTGCGAGTTTAATAGAGGAATGAATGTTCAAAATTTGGTGTCAAAATAGTTTATAGAAAAAAAACTAAAAATAAAATAGTGTAGAGATGTGACATTGTGATTGGGGTAATCTTAGCCCTCCAATAAAAAATGGACGGTTGGATAAAGGGGAGGATATAACTTTTATGTTGTAGGAGGAGCATAGAAAGCTTTCCCTTTGGTAATTAAGAGGGGTATGACATCATCCACATAGAGCACACTAGTGATATTTAATGCTCAATGTAGATGATGTCACACCTCATATAGATGATGCACTTCTCTCCTAATGATAAAAAATATCATTACTAAAAAAAACTTCATGTACTAAACAAATGTATATAAGTATCCAAATTTTGTTGAGTACAATGATAAATTACTCAACAGTATGAGCACCTTAACATAACCCATTTTAGGTTATGTTAATATGGTCACATTATAGAATATTTTATAATTGTATTGAACAAATTTTGATAAACTTACGTACCTTTGTATTGTAATACAATATTTTTTACTAAGGGTAATTTTAGTTATTATGAGGGTTGGGACATCACCCACATGGAATATTAAATGCCACTATTGTGTTCCACATGGGTGATGTCACACCCTTCTTAATGACATAAGTATGCTTATTAAAAGAATGATCCATGTATAAAATAATGGTTTATAAGTGTCTAAAATTTATTGAATACAATTATAAAATGCTCTATAATGTGAACATTATTGTAAATATAAAACAATGTATGTATATATTAATATATTTATGAAATAATATTAATATAAATATATATTTATGAAATTTATTTAAATCAAGTTACCAAATATATGAAATTCATCGCACAATACTTTTTAAACTTGTTAACAAGCATAGAGAAAATAAATTTTACAAAAATATTTTATGTTAAAAGTATTTACATATTTTTATTGGAAAACTATTTACGCACAAGCAAACGTGGCCGTGGAGAAAAGCCAGCTGCACACAATAATAGAGGTGGAATTCTTCAAAGGTTTTGAAATGAAATTAGCGTCAAATTCGAATGGCCAAATATTGCGATTCTGGAGGTGACCTTCATCCATATTCACGTAGAGAAAAATGGCGAAGCCAACTTTTAGCTAGTGTGGCCACACATTAAAGGCTATGCACTTCCCTTCTCCTCTTCTCTTTCTTCTTATCCCTCTTCTTTTTTGGCTTTCTTGCTTTGTCTTTGTAAATCTCATTTACTCCATGAAATTGCAGTTAACATTTAAGAAGAAAAACCTTAAACTCAAAAGGATTAGACATAAGCAAACTCCCACTCACACACCCATTTCCAGGAAAAAGCATGACTTCCAAAGCAAATACGTCTTCATGCCACAAGAAAGCATGACTTTCATACCTATTCACTCTCATAACGTCTTTGACTAAGCCACAAAGTAATAATGTTAAGAAAATTTGGAGAGAGAGGCTTAGTTGTTAGATTACGGCCATTAGGAATGACGTAGTTGAGAGAGAGAGGGTGATAATAACTTTTGAAGGGAAGGGAGATAGAATGAGGATTAAGTAGATAGAATAAATGCAAAAAAATAACAAGACTTAAACAAACAGTGAGAGAGAGTGTGGAGCGCCCGCCCATTATGTTCAATATTGAGATTTCTATTAGGAAAAGGTTATATAAGGTTGAAATCTTAAAATGTAGAATTAAATATGCACCTCAAAAATCTATTGGACAAGGTTGTTTTAAAAGTTGAAAAATCCTCTAATTGATAATCTTGACATCGAGATATATGAATATGAAAAAACAAGAAAAAAAAAAGATTTTGAGTCTTAGAAATTATTTAGACCTATCAATTTTCAAGATTTTCATATATGTACAAATCTATTTGATTTTAACTACTTTTAGAGTTTAAAATTTTATAATTAGCGATGAAAATAGATTTTGAGATAATCTTTAGATTTTTTTATAAAAAAATTATGATAAAATTTAGAGATATGCCATAATTGGGTTGCTTAAAGTTGCAACCTTATAGAAACCACACCCTTTATATTGTCTTGTACGCTCTTTTTCTTCTTGTATTATGCAACTTTCAAGACATATTCCTTGCGTTACAACTTAGAGAGAGAGGAAAACGATGGAGAGAGAAATTCTTATGAGGTTAAACTGTCAAAGAGAGAGAAAAAAGACGTTTGCGTGAGGTTGGGGATGGTGCGAAGATGGAGAAGTCGCATCATAAGAAAAAATGGAATGGCTGACAAAAAGTAAGACTTCCTATACTATTTCTACAAAAAGCCAAAGCCAATGACTACAAAAAACAAGACTTCCAAAGCCAATGACTTCTGTAGCTACGCATTGCAATGGTCGTCAGAGTCTTTTACCAAATGACGATGAGACCCTCTAGCGGCAGGAGAGAGATAGATAGATAGATAGGTATGATTACCTTAGTATTTTATAACTTGGCAATTTTTGATCTGAGTCGTAGATTTCGATTTGAAGTTGATGAGGACCGAATCAGTTCCGAAACGGGATGGGTCCTAGATTAAACTTCTCTCATGAAGCTCCTTTTTTTTTCTTTTTATTTATTAATTTTTAACTTTATTTAATGATTTTTATGGTCCAGACTATTCGAGAATAATCTGGATCACCGATCCAACCAATCTAGATCGATATTAAAGGTGGACGATCTGCCCTACCGATCCATTTTTTTTTTTTTAAGAGAGAGGAGGTGTTTGGAAAAGCAAAACTTCTAAAGCGACTCCAGCTGTCAAAGTCTTTCACCAAATGATGATGGGAGCCTCTAAGAGAGAGAGAGATGATTAACTTAAAGAGAGAGAGAAAGAGAGAGAGGGGAGATATTTGGTGTAAGTAGTGGCCGTTCGTTTAAATAATAGAAAAATAAAAAATATTACTACTCTTCAATCAAATTCATTGTCCATGAAAAACTAATAATCATGACACGTCTAAAGTTCCTTCTAGTGTTACACATTATCGCTAACATTTTCTTATTCTTTTTATACGGAATCCATTTTCACTGCCAAATTCCATAGTCCAAAGACTACCGCATGAAATGTTTAATACTTCCCTAATTCCATTGGAGTTTCACTCGGTGGCAAATATTTGATGGGGCCACCTCCTAGTTGAGAGAGAGTGATTCTGTGGTCCACACTTCCTCCACCAAAACTCTATAAATGTCAAACCCAATCTCAAGCAATTACTCGAGCAAATTGAGTAAAGTTTTGCATGCCATGAAAATGGGAATGGTGGTGAGATCTCCATCTTTTTTCTTCTTCCTCCCCTTCATTTTAGCTCTTTCGATTCAATCCTCTGGTTTGTCAATGGTTGATTTAGAACCTGAAGCATTGCTGAACTGGAAAACTAGTTTGAAAAATCACACTTTGGTTTCATGGTTTCTTAAAACCAGCAACTCCACCAGCCATTGCAGTTGGATTGGCATCAACTACAATAATGATAGAAGTGTAGTCGAGGTTAACCTCTCAAATTTTGATTTGGAAGGGACTCTCAATCAATTGAACTTCTTCTTGTTGCCCTATTTGACCAGCCTGAATCTCAGCATGAACTATTTTTTACAAGGGAAAATCCCGAAGAGTATCGGCTCCCTTTCGAAACTCAGTTTCTTGGATTTGGGAGACAATCAGTTTACGGGGTCGGTACCTGAGGAGATTGGCAATCTCACTGACCTTCGCTTCATTTCTCTAAGTGGAAATGATCTTAGTGGCCCCATCCCTTATCAGCTGGGTAATCTGCAAAAGGTATGGCATTTAGACCTTCGTAGGAACAATTTGAACTCTATTGACTGGTCAAAGTTTACAGGTATGGAGTCTCTTACTCACCTCTACCTATACGACAATTTTTTGGTAGATTTCCCAGCCTTTGTTTCCCGATGCAAAAACTTGGTACTTCTTGATTTGTCTGAAAATGAAGTAAGTGGTGGAATCCCCATTCAAAAGGTTTCCAGTCTGAAAAACCTCCAAGTCCTCGACCTTAGTGTTAATTACTTTCAAGGGCCCATTCTTGCTGAACTTCAGAATCTGATGAGGCTTCAAGAACTTCAACTCTATAGCAATAATCTCACGGGTGCAATTCCTCATGAAATCGGCTTTATCTTTGGGTTCCGAAAACTAGACTTGAGGTATACTTATCTCACGGGATCCCTCCCCCTCTCCATAGGAAACCTTTCCAAGCTGACTTACTTAGATCTATCTGGAAACCTATTCACAGGATCCCTCCCTCCCTCCATAGGAAACCTTTCCAAGCTAACTCACTTATTGCTAAGTGTCAACAATCTCACAGGATCCCTCCCTCCCTCCATAGGAAACCTTTTCAAGCTGACTGACTTATATCTATCTGGAACCCACTTCACAGGATCCCTCCTTCCCTCCATAAGACACCTTTCCAAGCTAGCTTACTTAGATCTATTTGGCAACAATCTCACAGGATCCCTCCCTCCCTCTATAGGAAACCTTTCCATGCTTAGTCAATTGTACCTATCTAATAACAATTTATGGGATCTCTTCCTCCTGAGATTTGGAATCTTAAATCCATAATTAATGTGGATTTAAGTTCAAATAGATTTCAAGGCCAATTAATACACCGCGTCTCACCCTCAAGGACTTCAACTTCTATACAACTACGACAACTTTTCTGGAAATACTAGGTTGGGTTTGGGACAAAATTTTGAAATGTTGAATACCAGCTCCTCAACTGATCTACGTCGTCAGATTTGCAAAAGCAAGAAATTATTGCGGGGATTCTTGAAACATTGTACGAGCACAGTGACAATCCGAGCGGTTGCATGCTATCACCGAGTCAACACAACTGATACTTATGCCAAGCTTCCTAATTACAACAACTGTATCTCTCAAACAATCAAATTTCTGGTTGTATTTCAGAAAATATTGGAGAAGTCATGCCAAATCTATCGCTCTTGGATATCTCCAATAACAGTATTTCAGGATTTATTCCCAACTCGACAAGGAATATGGAGGGTTTGATAGTTCTTCATCTTTATGAAAATAAATTGATGGGTCCTATTCCCACTTCCATGGGAAACTTGAAAAATTTGAGGACATTAAGGTTGAGAGAGAGAGAGAGAGAGAAACTTTGGGTTTTGGTTTTTAATGGTCCAAGTGCATGTCTTGAGTAAGTGGATCTGAACTTTCTTATTCTCTTTTGTAGGAATTACAAATTTCTTATAGTTTTTTTGTTTTTTATGCTCGACTGAGCGTAAGATCGTTCATGAAATATGGCAGTTAATGCGTAGTGATCCTTTCTCTTTGTCTCAACAAGGATTTTTTTGTTTAACGTTTCGTGGAACACTCGAAGCCATTTGCTACTAAAAAAAATGATTCATCCAAAATACTTCACTTGGAATTCTTCAAATTCGCTATATAAACCAAAGCTATTAAAATTGAACCCAATCGGTGTTGTGACTAGTGGAATCAATGATCGGAACCTTATTCCATCAAACTGGTTTGATTGTTGGTTTTGCTTTTTTGGTTGGACGATCTGGATTTGGTAAAGTTGAATTTAATTCCCTCTGTTTCAAATTTCTTTTCAAAATTTTTACATGATTTATTCTTGCTTTCTATGTTTCTTAATTGGATTGCATGGAAACATTTATTGTCAAATATTGTATAAAAAAGTGATTAATATGCCTTGGTTTCTTTTTTCAAGAAATAAAAGATCAAATTTGTCAAAATTTTGTTTTTGTTTTTGTCATTATTCAATATGGGCATGGTTTCTATGAGTCCATGTAGAAATGAGTAACCTCTTCAAAATCTATTTTTTTAATTTTGATAATTTAATAAACTTTAGAATTTTTATATTGAGAAAAGTGTATAACTTGAAGCATTGTGGGTTGGATTGATTTTAAGCCACATCGTAGTTCGAGCATAGGTCCAACTTTGATAGCATTGGTCTAAACCGAGGTCCAATTTTGACAAAACTGATCTAAACCGAATGGTCCATAACACAAGCAAATTAAGGCTAGTTCTTGAAGCGCATATAAATGGGAATGGGGGTCACATTTTTAATCTTTACTCTATTCCTCCCCATTTATTTAGCGATTTTCTATTCAATCCTCTCATTTATCATTAGATTCTCAAGAGTTGTGGAACCAGAAAAATTCTCTTAAATATCAGACTTTTAGTACGAGTGGTGTAAAGGATCCTAATGAGGTGCACTCAACATTCAGCATTCAGAGTTGTGGAACCAGAAAAATTCTCTTAAATATCACACTTTTAATACAAGTGGTGTAAAGAGTCCTAATGAGGCGAACTCATTACTCTCACTCAGCACTCAGTAGTTTGTCTTAGGAAAACGTTTATATAAGGACGTGGCCCTAAACAATTAAATTAAGATGCGTATAAAAAATTCACAAGATGTTACAAGATATAATACATATCTCTAAACATCGGTAAAAGACTATCGCCGAACTTTCCTTCTAAGTCCGCTCTCCAGATCAAGTTACATCGTCGATCAATATCTTCTTTCCCACCGCAATATCATACCACTACCGAAAAAATAACATCGAGAGCAATTAAGAGGTTTTCTCTCTCTAGAAGTGAATGTTAATCAACTCAAAACTCATAGGAATACTGTCCCTCTCTTAGATGTCATGTCTCTCTCTCTTAGAGACCCATCTCCATATTGGAGATCCATTTTCATAACTCCTAAAGGGCTGACCCTCAAAAGGATGGTATTATGTCCTCTTTCACTATATCACTTTCTTGCTTTGCAAGAAAGTCAATTTTATATTTTCCATAATACCCTAATCTTAAAAAAAATATATGGGTATGGTGATTTATTTAGCTATCACCATACCCAACAAGCTCCTTGGTTCGCTAAGTACAAGGCAATCTTAGGCCATCATAGAGAGCTGAATTCGGAAGTTTTTACTTTTTTCTTTACCAACACTCCACCAATTTTAGGGCTTTTTTACAGCGAATCTGACCATCTATTTTTTACAGCAAATCTGACCATCTATCTGCCTTTAATTGAAGCTGTTGTAAGTACATTCCACTATTATTTTTCTTATTTGGTTTTGTATTGAAAAGAAAAAAGAAATCTTTGAATATTTTTTGGGCCGTTTGGGTGCTTGGATTCCTAACATCTTGGATATTGTCAAAATCCACCTTTTGGATTATTTAATGAATAAGATACTTCAAAATCATGAAAATAAAACCAACTTTTCCATGATTTCATTTCCACACCAAAACCTGTTTTTTTGCGTTTCTGAGGCCCATGGATTTCACTCATTGGCTCCCTCGACCCAAAACATAGGGAGTATTTTGTAGGTATGAAAGTTTTAGAGAGAGAAAGTACTTAAAATTTTTAAAGAAAAAGACTATCTCAAAATTTTTAGAGAGAAAAATTATCTTAAATTTTAACTTTTAGAGAGAGAAAATATGTTAAAATTTTAGAGAGAGAAAGTTGTTAAAATTTTAAAAAGAGAGAAAATACCAAATTTTTATAGAGTGATGAACTATCTCAAAATTTTAGAGAGAGAAACTATCTCAAAATTTTAGAGAGAGAAACTATCTCAAAATTTAACTTTTAAAAAGAAAGTACGTTAAAATTTTAGAGAGAGAAAGTATGTTAAAATTTTAGAGAGAGATTATCAAAAAATTTAGAGAGATAAACTATTTAAAAATTTTAGAGAGATAAACTATCTTAAATTTTAAGTTTTAAAGAGAAACTATCATATTTTTGAGAGATAAAATACATACAAATTTTTAGGGAGATAAACTATCTCAATTTTTAGAGAGATAAACTATTTCAAAAATTTTACAGAGAGAAATAATCTAATATTTAAATTTTTAGAGAGAGAAACTATATCAAAATTTTGAAAGACTACCTAAAAAGTTTTAGAAATAGAAACTCTCAAAAAAATTTAGAGAGAGAAAGTATATCAAATCTTAAGATTTAGAGAGAGAAAGTATTACTAAAATTATAGAGAGAGAAAGTATTCTTAAAATTTTAGAGAGAAACTATTATAAATTTTTGAAAGAGAAATGGCCAAAAAAATTTAGGGAGAGAAAATCTCATTTTTTAGAGAGAGAAACTATCTCTAATTTTGAGTTTTAGAGAGAAACTATCTCGAATTTTGAGTTTTAGAGAGAAACTATCTCAAATTTTAGCTTATAGAAAGGAACAATATATTAAAATTTTAGAAATAGAAATTATATCAAATTTAGAGAGGGAAACTACTTAAAAAATTTCAGCGATAGAAACTATCTCAAAATTTTTGGAGAGAGAAACTATCGCAAAAATTATGTTTTAGAGAGAGAGAGTATATTAAAATTTTAGCGAGATAAACTATATCAAATTTTAAATAGCGAAAGCATATGAAATTTTTAGAGAGAGAAACTATATCAAAATTTAAGTTTTAGAGAGAAAAGTATCTCAAATTTTAAACTTTAGAGAGAGAAAGTATATCAAAATTTAGAGGGACACTACATCAAATTTTAAATAGAGAAACTATTTCAAAATTTTAAAGAGAAAACTATCTCAAACTTGAAGTTTTAGAGAGAAAGCATCTTAGAATTTAAGAGAGTAACTATATAAAATTTCACTTAATTTCAGTAGCCTTTCAATATTATACATTTCAAAACTTCATAGCCAATTCCCAATACTTATATGGATAAATTAAATAAAATCTAATCCGAATAATAATTACATATATTACAGATTGGGTGCAGTTGGCATACGGACGCCTCCGTAGGTATAGAGGTACATTGCTATTCAAATTTTATCGTGGTATATAATTTTGATGTAAAATATTATTAGAATTATCTCAAAGTCTACTTTCATATCTAATTATAAAATTTTAAATTTAAGAAATGGTTAAAATTAAGTAGATCTATAAACATATGAAAATCTTGAAAATGGACGGTGTAGATAATATGTTGTAAAATACACTATTTCTGAAACTTAAAATCTTTTTATTTTTCATAGCCATACATCTCCATGTCAAGATGATTAATCAAAGGGTTTTCATTATTAAAACTACCTTTTCCGATGGATTTTTTGATGGGCATCTGTAGTTCTACATTATAAGGTAGCATCCTTATATAAACTTTCTCTTTATAGATTACATATTATGCATTATATATTATGTATTTTATATTGAGTAATGATCCTATGAGACCTTCCCACACCCACGTGTGTAGGACCTTAAAGGATGACCATTAAAGTCAAGTCCCACATCCATGTGATAACTTTTCTAGATATCTATGTCAAATTTAATGATGATCATTTGAAGTCCTACACACATGGGTGTGAGAGGGCCTCGTAGGATCATTACTCTTTTATATTATAGTATACATTACATATTACATATTATATAATATATATTAACTAATATTAATTAAAAAAAAGAAGATAAAAATCATAATATAATCTTATATTAATGTAATGAAATGAAAAAAGGGTAAAATTAAAAGGCATAATATATTGAATTAAATTCTTAAATTCACAGGTTAATATTATATTATCTATAACGTTGGTGCAGTATTCTTTCTTGGATTTTGTACTCCCATGGGTACATGCTGCACATGTGACTTATTAAATTAAAACTCCTTGTAAATAATAACATTTTAGTGTTTATCTTAAAAATAATTTCTTTCGGAATTTAGAAATACACAGTAAATTGTATTTAAAAATTACTATGTATAGCACCTACTACATTCAGAATGAGCTTCATTAAAAATAAATACATGTTTCAAATTTTCAATTAATATAATATTATATTTACTTTAAAAAATTGATGTATAATTCTTAAAATTAAAAAAAAAAATTGAAACTTCCATTATGTCTATTGATGTCCTAAAAAAAATAATAGGCTCTATATGATCTACCATTACATCGTCTTTTGCAATGTACACCAACTCATGCTCTCGATACTGAAATTTCAATCATATTTTCTTCCAAAATTAAGTTGAATTTCAACAACATTTCAATATTATACAAGACTTCATAGTCAAGCCCAAATGCGTATGGGGATAAATTAAGGAAAATTTAATCAGAATATTAATGGTAAATCATCATATCTATTGTTAGAATAAGGGCTGAGGCCGTGAATTGGTTTGTGAC